TGTATGTAGATTATAAATCCTTTTGTATAAAAATAAAATATATTTTGACAACTGAATTGTTTTTAGTGTTGTTGCTATTTTATAAAAGATTCTTTAACTTCATTAAAAATCTTATTATATTTTCAGCATTATTGAAAAAGATATATGAACGTATGTATGTGTGTATGCAAATCTAATATAATAGTTTTAATGTAATCCATATTAGTAATTAGTTATAATTAGTCTAGGAATTTACAATTTGGAAATTTGATTATTTAATATTAAAATTGAGTGCCAGATTGCAAGTTTGAATATTAAATAGTAAAAAATCTTTGTTTAATTCAAATTATTATTCGAAATAGAATTCTATTTTCATCAACACTTGTTATTTACATCAATATTTATTCTGCGTATACTCATGCATTCACACGTATACAAAAAACAAATTTCTCTATATAATAATGTACTATGTTCTAGTACAGTGTGTCATGTCAAAATGACATAGGTGCTATTATTATTATAAATCTTAACTTGTTAGCATATTAAACTTAAATAAATAAAATATTGTAACATGTTTATAATATTTTAAAGAATTAAATTTCGAAAATTCACCAAAACTAGAGCGGGCTCGTAAAAAAATTACTAAAACACAAGTTTAAGTTCAACAATGTTATTGTTTTAATTTGACAATAACTTTCTATCATAATATATGATTCTCCGATTAGTAGCAATTTAAAAATATCAATAAGCTACCATTGTTTTTTCATCACACTCATTGAAAACAAAAAGGAGTCGTTCGACACATAATGAAAAACCTATATTGAATAAAAAGAAGTCCGCTTTTTTCAAGAGATTTACAAAAAGTAAAATGTCAATTATAATTTTGTTTCCGAAATCAGAAACATATTTAAAATTTGATTTCAAATAAAAATATTCACCATTTTTAAAATTTTATTCGGAGTATTTTGAACATCTGATTTCTCATTTATAATAAAACATCAAATATTATAGAGAATATTATTTTGTTTTTTTTTTTTAACAAAAAAAAAAACAGAGAGCGAAATTGAGTATGAATAAATAGTAGTATGAAGAACAACAATAACAATTTAAAAATATTGAGAAAACGAAGGTGAAGTTGAATAGTTTAATTCAATGAACCTTGTATTATTTTGTTGCAAATTCAAATAGTAAAAAAAAGTTTTGTTTTTCAATCTGTCAAATATATATTATGACAATCATATTGTATTGAAATGTCAAAAATATAGAAAATTTTCAAATAATATTGATAAAACATACATATGCGTTACATACGAGTACATACATACATAATAATTGTGTATACATTTTTTATCTTTTATAAAGAACGGAAATAATTTTTATATACATACATGTATATATAATATAGAGAAAAGTGAAAAAGGATGCTTAAAATTTTCCTAATGTGTGTTAAATATTGTGCTTATACATACATATAATATATACATATAGGTATACAATATAAAATTGATGACATTCATATAATTTTTTAGCTTTTCATTTTTTTTTAATTTACAAAAAGAGCCCTTATGAAATAAAATTTTAAAAATTAAAAAACTAAATTAAAAAATTATAATTATTGGAGTCTACGTAAATTAGAATTTGAAATTTTCAAATCAAAAATTTGTTAGAGTTTTTTGTTGAAAAGAATAAATCAATTTTATAAAAAAAAATCAATAGAATAAATAACCATTATGTGCCTAATATAATTATTTTCTATATAAAGTCATACAACTTCACAAAATAAATAAAATGGCGAAAAATTATATTTTGATTTTCTTCAATTATTTTAATGAAAATTTTTCGATAACTTCTTAAATTATCAAAAATCTCCACTTGGCAGAGCTCGATTTTCCCAGCCCATGCAGGTGATACCTCACCTTGCAATGATCTGTGAAAAAATTCGCAAAAGCGTGAACCCGGCTACTACCCTTCTTCAACAGTTTTGCAGTGAACTTCCCCGAACATGTTGAAAGAAACATCCGCGTCTGACGGCAGTGACACATTCGCCCGTGAAGGCCGGATTCCGCCGCAAGTAGGCAGGCGAGCCTAATCTATATTAAATAGAAGTAACATATTCTAAAATCATGTATGGTATATAGATATATTATAGAAGTTGTTAAAGAAATCTAAGTAAGGCTAGGAAGCTTAAGGAAACAAAACTTGCTAAGTAAATAAGTAGATTTATATTTTTTAGTTTTGATAATTTTGGATGATGTTCTATAGCATGATAATAAACAATTGATTCCAATAAGCTATTACGAGTTTACATTAAAGCTAATCGTTAAGGCGATAATTAGATTTTTTCAATTTTCAAAGAATGTTGCTTCTTGGTTTTATAAAGAATTTTATTTTATTTTATTGAGGAAAGTGAATGCATAATTTATTTGGAATTGAATATTAAATTAAAGTTATTTAATCAATGGTCTCAACTATATGAATAAATTCCAATGAAAGATCTGTAGATTTTCAAAATATACAAAATATTCCAAAACAAACATTGTTAATTAAAGCAAAATTCTGTTTTTCAATATAATAGTATTATTAATATTATTTTAATTTTTTTAATTAAATTAAAATATTGAGTTCATTATTGAATCTATTTGGGCTATTTGAACATTATCCCACACGTAATTGTAATATATGTATTTGAAATAAATTTAAAAACTGTTTTCCTTAAATAAGTTTTTCGACAAAGAAAAATATTCAAAAGTTCATGTCCACTATTTTAATTAAAAATAAAATTTTGTTTTTTAATTATTTTGTTTTTTAGTATAATTATTTAAAAATAAATTCAAATTACTCTACTTATTCAAAATTATTTGGATTTATTTTCTATTATCCTAAGACGTATTTGAAATAAATTTAAGTAGAATAACAGTATAATATTATTATTATTGTCTATAGAAATTTAACCCTCAAATGCTATATACGTATTACATTTTGATTACTTTATTTACAGTAGGTGTCTTGGCATATTTTTCTAGAAGCAAATTTTTAAATATTATACATATAACAATTGCTTTTGTGCACATTTTCAAAACAAAATTTGAAAAAAAAGTGCTTATCACATAGTTTCAGCCTCTCCAAAAGTTGTAGCCCCTCAAAGTCATAATAATATCATATTTTTTTTATTTTTTAATTATTATTATTGAATAAATTTTCAAACTTGATAGAAATTGCAAAATATAACGAAAAAATAAAAAATTTTTTTTAAATTTCGCAAACGCTAAGAGATAGCCCCTGGCCACAGCCAAGCATATTTCAACATTTTTGATCTGAGACAAAATGATCATTAAAATTAACCGTTACCTAAGATATGTTTTTTTTTTTTTAACTTTTGATATCATATTTCTTCTGGACGACAACTTGTAGAAGTTTAGACTTGTTTTATTTAATAATGTGAATAATTTTTATTCGAAGGGAATAATTTATTTTTTTAGAGAAAATTTTTCCCCATCCAAGAGACGGATGAAGGTAAAATTTCAATTTTCGGCCTCTTATATTTCCGAAACTAAAATTTCTATAAAAATGAAAAGGTAACAGTAAATGACATGTCATCGAAAAGTACATTAATTTTTCTTAACTAAAACAAATAACTTTCAAAATTCGAGCATTATTCATCATCCTTAATGCATGCAAGAAATCAATACATTTTGATATATGAATAAAGGTTATAATAATTTTTTCCACGCTTCATGCCGTTTTCAAAAGAAATATTTTTCTTGTTTAAGGAAAAAGTGCTCCTTTACGAACGGTTTAATCCAACTTTATTCCAATATTTTTTTTAAATCGATTTTCTTCTATGCAATGCTCAAATCTGCCTCAATATTAATATGTTGGGAAACGTCATTTACCTTAATTAATCATCAGTTCCCAATTAATCAAGAAAACTACCTAAAAATAAAATATATTTTTTAATAGTGTTTAAGTAAGAGACAAGTTAGAAAACAAATATTTCATTATCGAATACAAGTCCAAGGAAAAAATTGAAGTATATCGAGGGTTAAAAAACTGTTGTTTTTCTGAAATTAAAAAAATTAATTTATAGTCATATTATACATACATACATACATAAATATATATCAAATACTTTTGGTAAAAAAAAATAAACAAAAATAGAAAAAAATAATTTAAATACTTTAATTTTTAGCAAAAAAAAAAAAAAATAACATAAAATTTATACGTAAATAATGTTTTCACTTAAATAGACAACATTATACCTAATACACATAGATATATACATATCTAATATATATGTATAAGTAGAATTATTTTTATATATGATCTTAGACACTAGATATTGTTTGTGTAGGTTTTACCGTATATAAATAAATATATTTTTTTTTTTTATTTATAATATGATGTAGAGCTAGATGATTTCATAAAAATCAAAGTATTTTTTTTTTTGTTGAAATTTTTAAAATTTTTTCTTTTCTTTTAATTTTTTTTTTTCTGTGTTTTTTAAATTTTACTTTTTTTAGAAATAAAATACTCGTGTTTGATAAAATGCATAACATACAACATAATATATATGGAAACAAAATAACTGTATTTAAAAAATAAAATCATTAATATAAAGAGAGAGAGAGAGAGAGAGAGATAGAAAAAAAAAGAGAGAAAGAGAGATGGTGCGGTTCTTTTCAATAAAAAAAAGGAAAACATTTGATTTTATTTTTATTTCATTCGCTTTTTTTTGTCTGTTTTTTATTTTTTCTAATATAAATTATAACTGAAGTGTTTCTACGTATGTATGTAATTGTTGAATATATGTATATGAAATATTATGAAATACATGCAAATAATATAATACCGTGCACATACATTATATTAGTGAATAATATACAATATAATTAGTAGTGTTCATTTATAACTTAAAAACAATAAAAATAAAAAAAAATTAAATATTCTAAGAGAAAAATTTCTTTCTATAATTTTTTATTTTCTGTTTTTTTTTTCTCTTTAATATTTTTCATTTTATTTAGGTGGTGCAGATTCATCATCTTTTTTTTTTCTGTGAATAAAAAGGAACTTACAAAAACTATTAACTAAACTATAAACTAATAAATAAAATAACAACAAATAACAACAAAAAAACACAAATACAAACAACAAGAACAACTATAACAACAAAGGTTACAAAAAATCACCAAAAAGAAAATTAAAAGAAAAAAATAAAATACAAATCAGAAAATCAGAATATAATTGTTTATTTGCAACATTATTATATATACATACATTGATATATATACATATATAAATTATATATATATATGTGTATATAAATATTGTGAAAATTGTGTATGTATGAATGAAAATTCAAAAATAAAATTGAAAAAACAAAAAAAAGTTTTTTTTAAATATTTCAAATAAAAATATTGGAAAAATAAAAAAGAAATCGGTGGTTTTTTTCAAAAAAAAAAAAAAACAAAAAACAAATGTACACTTAAAATACATAAAATAAAAACTTATTATATACACACAAACATATTTAGCACACAAAATAATAAAATATATAACATAAAAACAACAATAACACAATAATAGTAAATAATAAAAATATCAAAATTATTACTTATATTTTAATAACAAAAAAAAAACAAAGGAACAATAAAATAAATAAAAGTAAAATAAAATCAAGAACAAAAACAAAATAAATAAATAAATAAATAAAGAAATTACAACAAACTATATAAACAACAAAGATAAAAAAACAACAAATATAAAAAATAAAAACAAATAATAACAAAAAAAACAGTAAAACAGAAACAAAAAAAAAAACAATTTGTTTTTCTAAAATTTTTAATTAAAAATAGATCTATTTAAGTGTGCAATCGCGATGGCTGCACCAGCAGCCTGTACGCGTTTCTCTGATAATTATGAGATTAAAGAAGAACTTGGTAAAGGTGCATTTTCAGTTGTTAAAAGATGTGTTCAAAAGGCAACATCATTAGAATTTGCTGCTAAAATTATTAATACAAAAAAATTATCAGCACGTGATTTTCAAAAATTAGAAAGAGAAGCAAGAATATGTAGAAAATTACAGCATCCAAATATTGTACGTTTACATGATAGTATACAAGAGGAAAATTATCATTATTTGGTATTTGATTTAGTTACCGGTGGTGAATTATTTGAAGATATTGTTGCAAGAGAATTTTATTCTGAAGCTGATGCATCACATTGTATACAACAGATATTAGAATCAGTTAATCATTGTCATACAAATGGTGTTGTACATCGTGATTTAAAACCAGAAAATTTATTATTAGCATCAAAATTAAAAGGTGCTGCTGTTAAATTAGCTGATTTTGGTTTAGCAATTGAAGTACAAGGTGATCATCAAGCATGGTTCGGTTTTGCTGGTACACCAGGTTATTTATCACCAGAAGTATTAAAAAAAGAACCATATGGTAAATCAGTTGATATATGGGCATGCGGTGTTATATTATATATATTATTAGTTGGTTATCCACCATTTTGGGATGAAGATCAACATCGTTTATATTCACAAATAAAAGCTGGTGCATATGATTATCCATCACCAGAATGGGATACAGTAACACCAGAAGCAAAAAATTTAATTAATCAAATGTTAACTGTTAATCCATATAAAAGGATAACAGCATCAGAAGCATTAAAACATCCATGGATATGTCAACGTGAACGTGTTGCATCTGTTGTACATCGTCAAGAAACAGTTGATTGCTTGAAGAAATTCAATGCAAGACGTAAATTAAAAGGTGCTATATTAACAACAATGTTAGCTACTAGAAATTTTTCAAGTAAAATTGTGATACCTAAAAAATCAGCAACTGGTAGCGGTGGTGATGGTTCACAAATAAAAGAATCAACTGATTCATCAAGTACAACAGTTGATGATGATGATTTACAAAAATCAGATGATAAAAAATCAATTGTTGAACGTAGTACAACAGTTATAGCTGCAAATAGTAGTGCAAATACAAATATTAATAATAATAATAATACATTAAATAATAAAGATTCATTATCATCTGAATTAAGACGTCAAGAAATAATTAAAATAACAGAACAATTAATTGAATCAATAAATAGTGGTGATTTAGATGCATATACAAAAATATGTGATCCACATTTAACAGCATTTGAACCAGAAGCATTGGGTAATTTAATTGAGGGTATCGATTTTCATAAATTTTATTTTGAAAATGTACTTGGAAAAAATTGTAAAGCAATTAATACAACAATATTAAATCCACATGTACATTTATTAGGTGATGATTCAGCATGTATCGCATATGTTAGATTAACACAATATATTGATAAACAAGGTCTAGCACATACCCATCAATCAGAAGAGACAAGAGTATGGCATAAACGTGATAATAAATGGCAAAATGTACATTTTCATAGGAGTGCAACTAGTAAAATAACTGGAGCAACGACATTTGATTTTGTTAATACACAAAAATAGATACATAAACACACATACATATATATATATATATATATATAATATTTACTTAACATATTTATAAAATATTAAAATAATTAAAAATTCTTTTTTTTTTTTTTTTAAATTTTTTTTTTTTTTCGAATTTATATAATCTAATTATTGTTGTAATTATAATAAAATAATAAAAAAAAAAAAAAATTGAACGAAAAACAAAAAAAAAAATATTTGTTTCTAAAATAAAAAAAAAAAATTTTTTTTTTTCATAATTTTTAAATTAAAATTTTTCAAAATAAATAATTATTATCTATTTATCTATACATACTTATATTACATTAAAACAAAAAATTTAAAAAATTAAAAAAAATAAAAAAAAAATTTGTAAATTAATTCATAAATTATTTTATACACATACTTACATAATAATTATATAAAAAAAAATATTTAATTATAGTAAATTTGTAAATTTCCTCATTATTATTATTTTTTTTTCTTTAAAAAATTTTTAAGATTAAGAATGCTAAAAAATTTTTTTCTCTCCTATTACATACTATTTAATATAAGATATTGTATAGGATGCAACACCATTATAGTAAAGTATTTACAGGAAGTGATAGAAAAAATTAAAAATTTTCAATGCAAAATAAAAAAAAATGTAAACCATGTAAACAACAATTGGTTTTGATATACATACGAGTATATAAAGATTATTCTTTTATAGAACATAAGAGTTTGTACAATATTAGATCAATATAATCGGTTCGATACAATAATGAATCGATAATGCTATTTATATAAAATTTAAGTTATTTTTAATTACATAAAGCGCAATTAAAATTTTTAAAATAATTTCTTTTGTAATTATATATTTTTAATAATTTTTTTTTTATCGTAAATTGATTATGCATGGGTATACATTTTAAAAATTAAAAATTTTAATTAATTAAGAAATAAAATTATATTGTTATATTAGATTATTATTATTATTATTATAGCGTAGAATAATATTATTAGTTCCATTTAAAAACAAAAAGCAGTCTTAAAATAATTAAAGATTTTTAGAAAAAAAATATTTCGAAATAGTTTATAACAAAAACGGTACTTACATATCCATTGTACTACAACATCGCATCATAAATAGTCTGACGTCTTGACAAATCATGACAAATCAAGTTTATATAAAGTATTCCGAATAGATGATATTATAGTATCTATTATATTGAGAACGGCATTTCGTTTCCACTACTACAAATAAATTGATACTTTTGAAAACGAACGGTTAATATTTTGAGAAAAAAGAAACGGTAATATAATATAAGAAGTTTGAGTAAAAACTCTTTAAAAAAAATTGTTTGCTCAATTTAATATAAGAAAATTGAAATTATCACATAAGTCTTCAATATATTATAAAAATTTTAATTATATTTTATAAAATTTTATTTTTTGCAGTATATAGAATAATATTTTTATATTTTAATTGTATTTTAAAACAAAACGGAATATAGCTATTTTAATTATATATATATACAATACAGCTTACAAAAATGTTAACCCTTGAGTTATTAAATAAATTATAAGCATAATTTATTTAATTTTATATTCTGCAACAATATTGCTGCCATAGTAAAGTGTAAAAATCTTATCTCTTTATTTTATTAATTTTAAAAATCAAATAAATAATATGTAGGTATTGTAAATTTGTAAAAAAAAAATTATATAAATTTATTTTTATTTTTTAGTTAATTATCGAAAATAATTTTGTAAAATGATGGAGAAATTATAGTGATAAATTGATTCTATTAATCTAATAATAATAATATGCCAGTATATATAGAGATTACAGAATATTATAAATTTTATATTTATATAAACTGCCAATCTTTCATAAGATTTTAATTAAACGAAAAAAAATTAAAAAATAATATTTAAATTAATTATGTTATATAAATAATAAATAAATATATAACAGAAATATTTTATCATTTAAAATTTGACATTATATTACTCGTATCATATAAGTTCTTGACATTAATATTATTTTATTAGTTATGTCAAAAGAAATTCATAGCATACATTTTTGAATTCATATAAATTGAATTCCATTTCAAAGAAAGTTTAGTAAAAGCAAGAAGAAATTTTTTTTGTTCTTAAAATTGAAAAATGTTGTCAATAGATGTCGAATTTTTTTTTTTTTTTAAACTTTTCACAATTAGGAGAGATCAGAAATGATACCGTAAAGCGGGGAAGAATAAATGAGAGTTTGACTTTTCATATTTAATCCCGTCAAAATTCAAATATCGTAAATTCTAGGGATTTTATGTAAAGTATGCATAAAATTTTAATAAAACCAATGGTTTAAAAATCTTAAAAATATGATTTTAGGCATTTAACTTCTTTACCTTCTCTCCACCTTTAATTAATTTTAATTGGAATGAGTTGACGCCCCCTTTTTTTTAAATTAAATAATATAATAAGTTTGATTATATAATATGTAGTATTTATTAACAAATAAAAATCTCGTAAAATAATTAAGTAGCTCCATCTCTTACAAATACTTTTAACTATTAATTTTTTTCATTTTCTGATAGAATTCTACTTTTTAATTTTTACTATCCACAACTCCTTAAAAACACTTTAATATTAATGGTGTAACATCGTCTATATTAAATCTATGCAAAAACCCACAACAAAAAAAAAATTACACATGAAGATAACAAAAAAAAATATTTATATTTAAATTTAATATTTATCAAAGAAAAAAAAAATATTATAACATAAACGACACACAAAAGAAACCAAAAACAACAATTAACCTTAAATCCCTTTACTATAAAAAAAACAAGAAATATTTAATTATAAAATAATAAAAGAAAAAAGAAGGAAAAAATTTTCAAATTCATATTTCTAATAGAAAAAAAATAAATAAAAAAAATATTATGTAATAATTATAAAAAATAAAGTAAAGAAAGAAAAGAAAAACAGAAGAAATCAAAAGTATAAGTAAAAAAAATAACATGAATATTATAGCAAATTTTATTAAATATTTAAAAAACAAAAAAAAAAAACAAAATTAAATTAAATAAATCAAATTTTTAATAAAATTGATTAGAATTTATTATATTATATACAAAATATATTAAAATATTAAATTATTGTAATAAAAAAACAAAAAACAAAATTAATAATTAAAAAAAAAAAAATTTTTTTTTTTGTATATCTATGTACTTCACGTAATATATTATGTAATATTAACGTATGTATATATAAATAAATTATATATAAAAAAAAATTAAATTCACAAAAAATACCATAAAAATTATAAAATAAATTTTTATTATTATTATTTTTTTTTTTTTAAATAAATTAAAGAAAAACAAAAACATTGATACCAAAAAATTTACTTAGTATAATATTAATAAATTATATAACTCCCTCTCGTAACTAATAAAATAACTAAAACAAAAACAAAAATACTTAATTTAAATAAGAAAAAAAAATTAAATTATAAAATTATAAAAACAAAATATTATTTATAATTTATATAAAAATAAAAATTAAACAACAACTTTGCCATTATGTATATATTTGCACTTATGTATGTATATGCATAAATTTACATAGTATACATAAAAATGCATGTATACATTTAATATATTATATACAAAAAATTTTTAAATAGAAATATTTAATTAAATCAGGAAAACTTTTTTATATATTTAATTATAATTCCTTATTATATTATCCATATAATAGACGCCATTGTCCCATCATAAAAATTTGAAAAAAAAAAATTTTCTTGACTACCCAAAATTGGAGTAATTCAGTATTAATACAAAATTCAGCTTATAAATGTTAATTGTTGAATTATTTGTATTAATATAGAATTATTGTATTTGGGTAGTCAAGAAGTATTAATAAAAATATAAAATTGAGTGATAAGCAATTTATTATAATATAATAGTTGAATAACTACGTTATTTTCCGATGGATATTGAAAATGACATTATCCAATTCAAATCAAACAAATAAGGAGCTAACCGAATCAAATTTTAATAATTAATATTTTAAAAATAATTGTAATTGAATTACAAGAAGAAAAAAAAAAAAACGAATGTTTTTAATTCAATAAAAATTTATAATTTAATATTTATATCAATTCAAAGTAATTTGTCATTTCACTCAGTGTCATCCACTTATCATGTCTCAATACGTATTGATGACATATCAGTGTAATGTTATGTGAAGTAATTGAATTACATAAATATGCAAATTAACGTAGTTATATTCTATAAACGTATATTTTATAGAAAATTGTGAATATGTCATGAAAATTTCAAAATTATTGTGAACTATTCATATTTTTCCATATTCAAGTAACATTATTATTTTAAAAGTCAAAATTACATAAATTCAGTATAATTAAAAATTAAATCTTATCTAAAATTTTACTGGTGATAATATTTCAATCAACAGCCATTTTATATTTTATTTACACATTTATTTCACTCTTCCTCCAACGAATGCAATCACTCACAATAATAAGAGTGTTAACACTGTTTAATTTCAAAAAAGAAATTAAGTAATGCCATTTCAATGTTAATTGAAAAAATTTTATCCTCAACGTTAACACTATTTAACGAAACAAACACATATACTTATATTTAAAAACATTAAAATATGAAATGAAAATATCAAAAAAAAAAATTTTTCAAAATTCTTAATCATGCGTCTATTTATTCATTTTTTTTTTTTTTTGGATTTAGAGAATGTTAAAATTTAAACATTAAAAACTTAAGGAAAAAAAAAAACAAAGCAAACAAATTACTTCGAAAAGCGCATACTAATTCTAACGAAACTTTATTATATTATATAGTAAAAAATAAATAAATAAATGATTAAAATAATTATTAAATTAAATACCTAATTACTTCAAATGGAAAAAAAAAAAAACAAAACAAAAAATTGAATTAAATTTTTAAAAAATAAATTTATTATCAATTTATGAATCTCTAAATTAATAAATTTAAATTATAAAATCCCAAGAAGAAGAAAAAAACAAAAAATTCATATATAACAATTTTAAGAAATCATTATAAAAAAAATTTAAATAATAAAATACACTAAAATTAAATTAAAACAAAAAA